CTGGTAATCGAAAGCTAGCTAGACGTGTGGGAATTATTGAACTGGTCTAATTATCAACAACGGATGAATGAACAACACCGTAAATGACATACCACAAGCCAGCGCAGCAACATACAACATAGAACGCAAACAAGTTTACAAATAAGAGATTTACTTACAAGTTCATCACAAGATCGCCAGGTCAGCATCGCAGTTACAATCCAGTGCTGCTTTTAAGCTCGCGCCAACGAGTGAAAGCCGGACCGAGTGTACTCTTGTCCGGTTTCTTGCACGGTCCGATTCTCTTTCCCTTTTTGTGGACATTTCTGACTGAGTTTTCTTGGATGCGCGCAAATAGCTTCATACAGTATGTTGTTGTTGATGTGTGTGACGTCGTTGCCGTAAAGTATGTCGTGATTCTCGCGAGCTGTGTCAGGGGCGCCACTCTCAAACTTGCATGGCTGGTTTTTCGGCGGCCCCCCCCCCCCCCCCCCCCCCCCCCAAACTCTACTACCAGGATGATTCGCCCTACTATGACTTTGTTTACCACCGAAACGACTTTGAAGCTGTTATATTAAGGTACAGATCTTGCATAGAGTGCCTTTAAATTGTCCAAATGGACCAAAACCTCAAATTAGAGAAACACTTTAAAAATTCCTGCACACTCTAACAATGAAAGGGAAACAACAAATGCGAAATAAAAACCACTGCTTCAATGAAAAAGTATAGCAAACGTTTCGGTCACATGTGGCCTTTCTCAATGCCTCAATTTAGTTCAGAATAATGGTCTGATCTGGGGAATCAGGAGAAGCAAATAGATACTGCACTTCCACAGTTCCAGTCCACTGACGCCATTTTGAAGTGCCATCAACTTCATGACAAGTCAGATTGGATCTGAACATTTAGAGTATTTATCCATTTCCATCTGTCTGTTGTTGTTTTTTTTTTGTCAATTTTTTTTAATGTTACGTAATGAACAGATTAATGAATTCATTATTTACATATTTAAACTTGTTGCATCCAATTTGATATGAGACATGCATGAGAAATGTATCTATTCTTCGTCAGCTCCTTGTTTAACTGTTTCCGAAGAGAGTTATCAGAATATTGTAGCTAGCAGTAGATTTTTTTTCACGTTTGCAAATTTACAGCACAAACACAACACTACAGCCTTGTGCGATGCCAGTGGTACCAGGCTCATCTAGGCAGAACTATGAGCGTTTCATCCCAGAGATGCATTCATCTACATCAATGACTTCCCCTCTGTGAGAGCTCTAACAAAGTATCTCCTTTTGAGCAGAAATGAGGCACTGTACAGCCGGTACTTCAACTGAAGGCGACATTTTGAAGTGAAAATCAGTTCATTCCCCATTGAGCATGCTACAGTACAGCTGTGATTACATCAGAAGACACACATCAAGTGTTCAAGAATCCTCACCAATCCTCACCAGTGAGGGATTGCAGGAGACATGGTCCTAAAACTCTCTTAAACCCATCATAGTTTGTAGACTTACTAATTCTGATTCATTAACATACTCAAGGTTATTTATTTTTTTGAAAGTGTTATATAGTGTATATATATATATATATATATATATATATATATATATATTCGGTCTTTGGTTTGCGCATGCGCCGGAAGTGATCGCTTGTGCGTCTACGTCGCTCATGTTTACACAGAGATTTTGGAAGTTTTACCTGTCAATATATTAAGATATACAGGAAGTGGATACAAAGTTAAATGGATATGCACTGGATCAAAGACACCTACATCATGGATGCCCTTAAGGTTAGCTAAAAGATATCAAAAATGTATTTCAAAGAGAACAATCCCTATTTTATATATGTTGATAAGTACACATTGATGGCCTAAGACACGAAACGAATGGTTTGTGTGAGAAAATGAACATTATTTATATCGTTATTACCTCTTGTAATCACAGTCACAGTACTCTGAAGGCGCGGGCGCTTCAGTCTGTGCAAGCGCGCCAGCAAGCACCGTAAAGCCCCGGAAGTGATCTCTCACCCGTGTACGTCGCTCATTGCTTACACAGAGATTTCAGAAGTGTTATCTTTCACTGTGAAGATCTAAATTTAGATATACAGGAAATTGCAATGGAAGACGATTTCGATATATCAACAGATGACGTTGATTTTTTTTTTGTGCAACCGCGCAAGAGATCACTTCCGCCATTTTCCGACGCTTGCGCAGACCGAAGCGCCTGTGCCTTCAGATCACTTGGACGTGGCAGTGGTTACAAGAGGTAAAACGATATAAATACTGTTCGTTTTCTCACACAAACCGCTCGTTTTGTGTCTTAGGCCATCAATGTGTACTTACATTATGAGTCATCAAATCATGTTTAATTTGGACTTCTCTGTGCATGCTCTTTGAGGTGGTGACCATAGACCTGCATTATATGACTGACAGAAAAGAACGGTTTGAGCTAAAAATATATACATTGAAAATTCTGTGGAAACATCGACACCTACATCTTGGATGCCCTTGAGGTGAGCTAAAACATATCAAAAATTAATATCAAAGTGAACTATCCCTTTAAGCAAATAGTAAATTGCCTACAGTTTTCTTCTTTCTATTTGTATACTGTAAACCCAATCTTTTTAGTTACTATCTTTTTGGATGTCTTGATATAGCTGTAAAACGTTTCATGTTTGTCTTAATGTCTAACGAGGGTGGGGTTTATGACATATACTGCATCCAGCCACCTGGGGGCGATCGAAACACTTTGGCTTCACTTTTCAGGACTTGTGCGGCACACTTGTGTGAAACTTGCAGGATGTTTTAATAGTAATACAAAGCCAAAGGATAAAGGCAAATCTGATTTCCCATGTTATGAACCCTTAAACTGTTTTAGGAAATGTAGGACAAACATAAAATAAGTAATTGTTCCGGCCCTAGTCAACACTAAAAACACACAAAACTACAAATTTATACACTTCACATTTCATGGCATTTGATGACGTTTAGACATAAACGATTTAGATTACATATTTTCATGAAATCATATGCAATTGGTTTGTGAATGAATTGTCATCAGTTTTGAGCGTTTCGACAAACATTTCAAAAAGCTCACTATAAAAAAAAACAATCGACCAAGTTAAACACAGTATACAGTCATATTAAAAATCAAGTCATCTTGGTCATTTTTACTACTAATCAATAACTGATAGGCAAAATATGTAGGCTACATTTTCTGAGTTCTGATGGTTGTTAATAAATTAGAATTAGAAGTAGCGAATCGAAGTCCATTTCGTTAATGAATCACTTTTTTGAGTCAGTTCAGTCAAACGGGTCAGTTCGGATCACTCACTCCAGCTGAATCGTTTAAAGCGGGATCTCTAAACTAAACTAAAAGAGCATGGGAACAAGTGTTGTTTACATACAATCCACTGAATTTGACCTTGCTGCAAAATGCATTCTACAGCATGCAGTGTTGAAGAAGGTCTTTAAGTTGCCACACCTGTACAAGCCTTGTGAATCTGGTAAAGACTGCATGGAAAGACCTTTTCAAACACATCCTTGCCACTGTCGACTTTGGCTTGCTAGTTAATGACACTTAATATTTAAAAAATAAAAATATTTATTTGACTGCACTGACACTATTGGATGAGAACAAAACTTGAACTGAACTGCCACGTACCCTTATAGTATCAGGCCACCGTGCTAGTTCTAAATACTATCACCTGCCACAAAGACAAGCAGAGAGAATAAAAGGGTCTGTTGTTATAAGTAACCACTGGGTGCTGCTGTGCCCCCATCCTCTCAGCATTAGGCCGCAACAACTGCTGAAATGAAAATGAACTTGATGTGTTTCCAAACTCAAGGGAATAACCACTGTTTATTACACTTCAATGTACAGCTTCAGCAATAACACTGACTCTCTGTTGCTATTCAGTGGTATATGACAAACAAACACGATTTTCTTATGCTACTAATTCACTGCCTGCATTTTGGCAGTGCATATACTTTGGCAGGACCTTCCTAATTAGGCCCCATGCATGAAATTAATGAGTTTAAAGAAAACTTGTTACAGTCAAACTGGAAACCATGCTATTTATTTGAAAGGAATTGGGCTTATGGGTATTATGGTATATGGAGAGCCCTGATACTTAGACACAATGAGGGGCTAGTAAAAGGAGAGAAATATTAGAGCAGGCTGTGTGTGTCTCTTTAGTTAGCTTGGCCATCTTGGATGTGATTACGCAAAAGGAGTATTCGCATGGACAGCAGCAGATGAAAACGATAGCTACACAAAACCCTGTCATAGTCTACCAGCTACTAACTAGCTAAACTTTGACGCCCTGAACGCTATAGTAAGTATGCAATGAATCTAAATTATCCCCAGTATTAACAATGAGGGTTGTATAGTTTACTTGCATCATGATGCGCTTTCCTGCAGTGAAGAGAGTCTGTCACAAATGCGACTCTTTTATTGCCCTAAAAACAAAACGCTGGTGATTTCACACTATTGCACCCCAGGCCATCACCTATCACCTTTCTCTCTTTTTATTCGCTCTCTCCGTCTCTCGTTTTCCCTCCTCCATTGCATCACTCTCTGAATTATTAAGCTCTGTCATTCTTTCCGAGGGAATCCGTCTCATCAGATCTGTAGGCCATCTCATCTGCTTCACCGCTCTTTCACCTCAAGCACCAACACTCGCAAAACCGCCTCCTGACAGATAGGAAATCGCTCATATCACGGCTCGCACACACACTCACACAGTGTACACTCTCTTACCTTTTTCCTGTTCTTGGCGCACAGTCATTTCATCATTGCTGGCAAGGACAGTAATTAAATAAAATCTGCAATGCTACTAACTTAACCACATTTTTTTCAGCAGCTGGTCAAAAGATGAGTTGTTTTCTAAAACTGTATTTTTTCTAGTAACAGGCTTGTTTTATTTCCATTAAGCAGCTGTATATTGTGACAAAATACTACATAATTAAAGACGGTGCCTATGTTCCAAGTCATTTCAGTCATGAAAGTGCAGCTCCGTACCTTTCTCTTTGAATGGGCAAGAATCAAATTCTCCAAAGCTGTTCACCAAGCTGTTCATTGGTTTTTGAGGAAGCTCACACTTCCTCATTAGTGTTGTATCTAAACGTTTAAATCTTGATTTAAAAAACCTGCATTTTTCAGGCTGTACCAACCAATACAGTCCTAAGCGCGCGTCTCAGAACAATGTAGCTCCGCCCCTTTTCAGCGTTGCGCTCGTTGTCTTTTGACTTCCGGTCTGTATTTTCACAGCGATCTTGCATAGGTAGGAATGAACTGCTGTAATAAAATTCCCGTCGACATTAAGACATCTGCTTTACAATGTTAATGACAGACATTACAATGCTCATGATAACTTTTGTTAACTCTACAATAAGTAAATCCACTTCACCAGCTAATTACTCCTCGACAGCGATGCCATAAAAATATACAGAGCGACCGCAAAAATGGAAGTTCAAAGACAATATTCTAAAGATGACGGCACCCACGTTTCTCTGGTGTATAAAACAAAGCTTGTAACGGCAGCTGCAGTGACACCATGACTTTAGTAAATGGTTCCCAGATTGCAAATTGACATTGAATCAACGTGGAAACATGACATCGAAACAACGTTGATCTGGCATTATTTTGCTCATCGAATTAACGTTGAACCAACGTCAGACGCGGCATTCGTCAAAACTAAAGGAAAATCAACTGGGAAAGCAAACCAATTGCGTCGATTTTCATTTTGGTTTGAGGAATGCCGCCGCGGTGTGACGTTGGTTCAAAGTTAATTCAATGAGCAAAACAATGCCAGATCAACGTTGTTTCGATGTCATGGGAGAAGCCGTTCCCACGTTGATTCAATATCAGTTTGCTGTCTGGGTTATAGGCTTTTATTTAGAAGGCGGGACTTTTTGCGCATTTTTCCCATTAGTAATACCTTTACCTTAGTAAATACCTGAAGTTTTGAATGAAGCAGTTTAGTTTTTGTTTTCACATCATTTTCACTCTGTTTTCTTTCTTTCTTTCTTTCTTTCTTTCTTTCTTTCTTTCTTTCTTTCTTTCTTTCTTTCTTTCTTTCTTTCTCTCTCTCTCTCTCTCTCTCTCTCTCTCAAATGGATGTAAAGATGATTGAGAGAAAAGCAGAATAAACCTCAGATGTTTGAAAGCACTGAGTTCTGATTTACCTATCTCAATTTACAGTTTGGTTTTCTTCTAATAATTGTCCTCTTTAATTCTATTATCCATCATAACTAAGAAATACACATTATACATCTTTGAAAACTATTAAATTAATTGAAATATGCAGTGTGGAGTCTGAGAAGGAAGAATGTCCTACAATTAAAGTTAAGTTTAAATCATCTCAATGAATAACATAACATTAAGTCAAGATTTCACCTCTTCTAACACACTCACCTGTATAAACTCATCATCAAATAACTTACACTTCACCTGAGATTGATTTAATTCTCTGTTTTATTAACAATTTTTTCTCTTTAACGACTGAGGTAATTGTCATTAATCTGTATGAACCCTTTAGGTGCATTTCTGAGAAACATACATAAGAAAACAAAACAAAAGTACATTTGATTATTTTAAGAAAATGTTTTAATCTTAGTTCATTTCAACATTAATCTGTCTAACGTCTTCTTCTCTCACAAATGAAGCTCTGGGAAGTCTGATTCATTTCAGTGAATATGGTTGTTAAGTCATTTCCAGGTCCAAATGCACCTTCAAATCATAAAGGCAAACAACAAATGATGCTTATTCACTCACAGTTTCATGTCGCACACATTCGAATAATCGTAATCTTAATCTTTATCTTCATATGGAAATATCAGTTAGCCAGACAGTGATTTGATATTTTCTGAATCATAAAACAATTAGTGTCTTGGAAACTGCAAGCTTGGGGACTTTTGTGACTTTAAAGTTCGTAAAGGGATAGTTCACCCAACAATCCTTTCATTAATTACTCGCAGTCATGTCATTCCCAACCTGAAAGTCTTTCGTTCATCTTCGGAACACAAATGTAGATCTTTTTGATTAAATCTGCAACCTTTCTGTCCCTCCATATACACAACTGACTCTTTGACATTCAAAAAGTTCATAAAAAGATTGTAAAACAAATCCATATGAATTGAGTGGTTTAGTTCAAAAAATGCTTTAGATGAACTGAATGAATTTAGGCTTTTATTCACAAACACTCATCAACTCGAACATTAGTTGTGGTAAACGAAAGCTCAAGCATGTTCGCTTTACGTGCGAGAACCAATGAGGTTCATTCTTGTGTTACGCAGCACGTTTGAGCTTCCTCAAAAACCAATGAGGTTCATTCTTGTGTTACGCAGCACGTTTGAGCTTCCTCAAAAACCAATGAGGTTCATTCTTGTTACGCAGGACGTTTAAGCTTCAGCAAGAACCAATGAGGGTCAAATAACGCATCAAGTTTGAGCTTCTGCAAGAACCAATGAGGTTCATTCTTGTGTTACGCAGCACGTTAAAGCTTCCCCACGACACATGTTACAATGCAATACAATGATGATCGAGAGATGAACAAATAAACATGATAAATTCATCCATAAGGCGAATAGTAGCATGTTGTAGCTAACAACCTTTTCAAAAATGTAATTGGACTTTTTTTCACTTAATTCACTTGTTCATTGTCTCTCTCCCCTTTTGTTGATCACTTCAATTTTTCCTTCACAGAAGCCCTTTCACCCCACATCATCTCTTGCTCTCCTTTGTCTTGCCTTCATTGTTAATTTGCCCTCTGTTTTTCTGTAACGTCACGGCCCAGTGCTGAACGTCACTAAAGTGATGGAGGGAAAAAGTGGAGGGTTGAGGCGAGGGACTGACGAGGAAAATAGAGCGAGTGTTCTGTGTTTGTGTGCATGTGAGACAGAGACACACACACAAACACACAGATCAGTTGCCTGTGGGTGTGAGGGTGGTGTAAAATGGCTCAGTCTGGTGAGAACACAACAGGCGTTTAATGCATCTTGCCGAAACCATAGAGTGCTGGTAAGAGATTTCCCCAGCGTAACACAATCGCATCCCTAAAGAAAGATCTTCTTTGCCAAAAAAAAAAAAAAAAAAAAAAACACAATGAAGACAATAGGGACTCCATGATGAGTGGTGCGAGTCTCTAAACTCATCAGCATCAATGTCCATTGGAGACTGACCACTTGAGAATTCATCTTCATGACTGCATACAGCCCCCAGCTTCATTTCTAAAACAAATATAACGTGCAACTAAACCAAACAAAACTTTGGCAGATTTAGTATTCAATGACTGTGACATCACTTTCTGAAGTTGATTTCCACAAAAAATTGTAAATACGCAACTAAATCAGTTATGAATTCTAATTTCATGTGTTTGTATCTCACATTCCATTAATTAGCTAAGATTACTGATCTGTGGTAAGTTTCCTATGTTCTCGCAACCTAGCAACCCTGTAAAATCATCTCTCTGTGATTCTATCTGCATTGCTTTTCATGTGAAGGCCAAGCCCTTGTTGAAGTCGTATCAAAGGGCCTTTTACATTCGATGACACCAACAAGTCGCAACAAGTGTTTTTTTTAAATTTATTTATTTATTTTTTCACACGAGTTCTCTTCATTGCATAGATATGTCAATAACATTGATCAAGTCACCTCAACTACAGCACAGATGCAATTCTAACAACACAAGTGCACCATGCTCACGTATCATAAAAAGGGTTGTGTGAGCATACAAGCCCATTAAGTATGGTGTGCAGTGATTCTGTGGTTTCTGCGTGAACAGTGTTTGCTTGAGAAACAGATGTGTGCTCAGCCACCAGGAGCAGAATTTGGAGGCAAGTGCTTTTGGAAAGCCCTCAAAAACACTGCAAACAGATTAACAGGAGAATAAAAATCACTCAAACACATCCGGAGGGATCGTACTCCAAAACAAATATAGATTGGCAGCTCATTGGCCAATATCCACATTTTGAGGGGGGTATGAATGCATGAGAGAAAGAAAGGGTGAATTTAAATGTTAAGACAGGATTTGGAAACTTTTGACCATGTCATACACCCGGCGCAATGCGACGCAAGTGTTTTTTTTTTTTGCTAGTTTCAGCTAGGGCTGGATGATTTGGGGAAAATGTTATATTGTGTGATTATTGTAGTCAACATTGCGATATAATAAACAAATGGTTTCATGAGTCAACTTGCTTGGTTGTCAAGGAAAATGCACACGCAGAATAGTAATAATGATGAAATGTGTATTTCTCAACTCAAACTAGCAACAACTAAATGCAGTGTTTTCAAATTAAAATAATATTTTTTACAAAATTAAATAATGACATCTTTAAATTGTGTATATAGTGAATTCGCCATGGCGCGAGCGCAACTGGCTTTAAAAAGGAATGGCATATGAGACTCTGATTGGTTTATTGCATGTTACGCCCAAAACACACCCATTACTCATTAAGAGAATAGGGACTACCCTTTTAGACCATGCGCCGACCATTTTTCCCATCGTTAAATTAGCAAAAGTGGATTCGGACACGTCCTACAAGTTGCCTAACCTATTTTAAAACAATGTAAGAACGTATGTTGTCATAATTGATTGATAATTTATTTTTACAAGGGGAATAACTTGCTACAAGTGCAAATACATTGAACACAACCTCATTTTTTAAAAAAAGGCACGGTGTGTGGTAAATGTTGTCTATGCTGTTATCTGACCCCGATTTAAATGTATAGACGCCTGTATTTACATAATTTTGCAATGTTAAAGCCATTGCACCATGGGCATATCTCAAAAATAATTTCCAGCCACCATTGTGGTTCATCATTAATGCACAAACTAAAAAAAATCTCGTATTACGTGAATGTGTGTGTCAGTGGCACAGCAGAACTATTATCTGCTCTCCAAATCTCTATTTTGCTCAAATAGCAGTACGATGCACCACAAGAATCAGATTAATACCTGCCATTCAGACGCATTAATTTGCACTCGCAGTTACCGCTTCTGAAATTACTGGCATGCCTGCAAAAACACTTTGTGGGCACAATTTAATCCATTTGCATTGAC